GTCTGTATCCATTTCCCCACCCAAGGATGGGGAAATGGATACAGACTGGCCAATTTGATACTGTCTTACCCCCACCAAAAGATCTGCTTGGAGATTAGTTTCTGACTACATTTCAGGAGACACATGTGCTTGAGTTGATGCAGTTTGATATAAACCAGATAGACGGCGCTTTTGAGTAAAACTAAAGTCTTGACTTATCAAAGCCTAGCGCAAGGTAAATTTGAACTCTGGATACGAACAAGTACATCAGCAGTTGATAGTCCATGTCCATTTTGACTTGTTCTCAAACGGCATCAACAAACATATGACAGAATTCTTCCTGTCCTGTTCCATATCCGAGGGATATCTATCTTGGTTATATATAAGAATAGGGAAGTCCGTGGTTTTACCTCCTTCCTTGGTGAGCAGGTTGTAGATGATCAGGTACTCGTAGAAGTCGATAGTGCCGGTGTCGTCTACGTCCACTTCTTTCATTAGCTCCTACCAGCGGAAATAAGTTGCAATGCAAGTCTCATATCAGTCAGTTTTGCAGACAGTTTTAATGTCATATACCGACATTCTGTCGAAGGGCAAAGTCAGCCTTCAAGATAGACATATTTGTCGCAATTCTTGATATAAATTACGGCACAATAGCGCATTTCTTCTAGCACAGCGAAATTACAGTAGAATGAAATATGTTGAAATGGACTGATAGAGTGCAGACTGAAGACATACATGACATACTACATATGCCTATAAGCGGACTACTTTCAGCTTACCTTCATCCTCTGTTGACCGTAGGGAATGCAGTTTGACAACAGACAGATAGGTGGCACAGTTAAATAGAATGGTCGCTTTGAATACACAGGTACTATAATATACAAAAATACAATACTCGGCGTCTATTTTGTCTTGTCAAATCTTATAGAGCCTCAGGAGGTTTGAGTTTCTCGTATAAATAGTATTTTATCTGACTGCAAACGTGCAAAAAAACTGCAGAAGGGTTCAGAAGGTACCCGTACCTTGATCTGCGCGGCTGTAAACTTGACTCCAGGAGCGACCGTCATCAGCGCCCTCACAAGCTGGGCGCAAGAAAGCAAGACAAAAGTAAGGAACTTTGACCAACAAGTAGGCATTTTTGTATGTATTGAATCATTTCTGTACCAAAATGCAAGCTCTTGATGAACGTATACAAAATCACGCGAGATTTGGCGGGAATGTACGAGAAGGTCTTACCTCTCCCATGTCCAGATTGAAGTCTCTGCTCTTGTCGTATTTGGTAAACATGTCGAAGTGGTGTTTCATCTACGTTGGAAACAAAAAGACGGTTCAAATGACTTACACAACTTGTTTGTGAGTGTCGTGACATGAAACTGGTAATATACCTTTCAATCGCGACTTTAATTGTTTGCTAACAGACATAACACAATACAATGCATACAACAGCATAAACATTTCTGGCTCAGTGCACAAAGTCTAAACTTAAAAATTTGTTCCCAAACTCAAGTTATCCACTGATATTGAGGTAATGAATGTTTAACTGATGATTCAGCCTTCATCAGGATTATTCAGCCTTCATCTGGAGAAATGGCCAATTATCGAACTTGGCCTTCGTTTTTGATGCCCCTACTCATCCACTAAATGTCATAAACAGGCTCAACTGATGATTCAGCCTTCATCAGTAAAACTGACCCATTTACTTAGATTACGTGCCATAAGCTCACCTCCGGTTCCTTCATGTGTGGGAAACACTTGAGCGCGGTGTACATGTCCAGCCGCCCCGTCGCCCTGTTGATGAGCTCGGGGTGTTCCTTGTCGAAGGTTTGTTCTGAGGACGTGTCGTCCGGTTCTTCATGCTCCTTTATGGTACTGGTGGAGGATGGTCCGTTTGATTCGGCCGGCCTGGTAACATGTACAGCAGGAGGTTATATGTAAAGCAGTCATTCTTTACACGTGTACACAGAGAGCAAGGATTCTTAAACCCCCTTCCTGAGAGGAAGCATGTCTACAAATAGTGCATGGGTTCTTTCACGTGCAGAGGTTTACCTATTTTTTTTTACGCATTTGGCTCCCGTGTCTTTACGTCCCCGTCCCCAGATTTCTGTACGGTATCTTTATGTGTGGCCTATACTACGTGATTCTCTGACACTTACGGAGGTGGTTTCGCGGCTTCTTTGATCATCTTTCCGAGAGGCATCCGTATGTCCTGTACAAATGGAATGGAAGGGTCTTAGGCAATACTAAGTTAGGTGGAACAAACATCTTAACATTGGACCGCTCCCTTAAGTAGACTTAAATGTGCACTACTAAAAAGTTTATTGATAAGAATTATATTTTCATTTAGAAGTTACTTACGTGTGGCGTAACGGTAGAGCTTTCGGCTCGGAACCAAGAAATACCGGGTTCGAATCTTGCCATGCCACCGATCTTGTAATTGTGCCATTGGGAAAGGCACTTTTAAAACACGAATTTCCTTACTTTACTCAAGTGAAAATATGTCTGCGGTCAATTCATGCATTTGTCTTCGTTGGTGGCGGCATAAAAATAAGTTAAAAAAACTTGAGTGTGCCGTCACCATGTCTTGATAAATGTTGGAATGGAAAAAAAAAGTTCCTTACGTCCTCCGAGGCGGAGTAGTGTGCCGGCAGCTTGCCGCTCAGGATGGAGAACTGCCCGTCCAAGATGGCGTCGTGAACCAGCTCCAGTCTCTGACGCACCATGGGAGCCTCGTTATCGGTCATGAACCTGACGTCAGTGCGCAGACCGTTCACGCAGGCCAGGAAGTACTTCTGGTGGGCGTTTATCTCCTGAAGGAGGACCAAAATTGAGAGATCTTTGAAGAAATTGAGAGATCTTTGAAGCAATCAAAATTGAGAGATCTTTGAACAACCAAAATTGAGAGATCTTTGAACAACCAAAATTGAGAGATCTTTGAACAATTCTTAATTCTTTTATTCACAAATGGCAGTGTCAGCTATCACAAACACAAAATTGCATGACAGAAACCGTGAATCTAAAGTAACCCACCTTTTCCATTTGGTAAATTTTCTTCTTTTCACTTAGCAAATCCCTTGTGATGTCAGCTGCAAAACACATAAAGTAGCATGAACATATAGGAACTGTAGAAATCTGTAATTAGGTACAAGTAGATACGTATACACTGAATTGTGAATGGTAAAGGCGACATAGTGTTTAAAAGTAGCGAAAAAAACAAGCGCAACTTACATGCATTCGACGTTCTTCTCATCTTTTCCATTCTCAGGTGTTCGTCTAATTCCTTTGGGAAAAGAAAATATCATCAATCCCTTGAACCAGTAACCACTAAAATATAGCCTAAAACATTCTTCAGTAATTTGAGAAATTTCGTATCCACAGAGCTTACAAAGTCTCGCAAAATAGGATAATAAAATACCTTTATTCTCCCCTGAAGACGAGTTTTTGTCTCATTGTTTTCTGCCTTTATGGCCTCGATCTGTGCTAGCAGCGCGTCTTCCCTGTAGACAGAATTAACATACATTTTACTGGTACAAAGAAGGTTAGAGAGCCTTGCAGGTACTCAGACGACAGCTAATGTGAAAGTGCAAAAAGAATATGACCAAAGGAATAACATTTTTTTTTGTTTTTGTTGCTGTTGTTGTTGACAGTCTTATCTCTAATAGAATGACAGTCATTGAACAACTACTATATTTGACCTCTAATGTCAAGGTCACGGGTTATCAGAGGTCACGACAAGTGAAGGACGTGAAGCCGCCACTTCAGTCTACATGTTAAAGAAACATTTTAAGGGAAATCGCCTTGCAAAGAACACAAACGTCAGACGAAGTACGTGTTAAGAAAATATTTGGTACCTTGTCGGAAGTATGACCTTTTTGAAGGCTTCTACTGAAAAGACTAGTCGTATTTCTTTGGAACAGCTGACGTAAATGTGCGTCAATTTCTACATACACTTTTTTTTCAATATGTACCACTCTTTGATACCAATAATAGACTGTAAGAAACAACAGAATGGTGTATTCTAACACCCTGTCGTGAAGTGTGGAAACAACAAAACTAACCGTTTATTGGCCTCTTCCTCCACCTTACCGCCGGGTCTGAGCTGTATTTGACTGTCTCTTCTGCTGATACTGAAGAGAAAGAACACAAATGCATTATATTTCCACAGTTCGTGCGATATGTGACATAGAGACGTAATATGGCCGAAACGTAGAAATATTTTATACGTGTATGACATGTACAGACATGGCATTCATGACTGTAACTTGATTGTCCGAAATGAAGATTTTTTTTAAAATTCCAACATATAATCACAAGAAGTGGTGACGGCACACTCATTTTTTTTCAACTTATATTAATGCCTCCAAAATGAAGATTTTTCTCTATCACTGCTTCTTTATTTGGTAAAAATGGAATATGAAAATGCGCCACATATATTATTAGAATACCCCAAACTCTCTTGTAACCATGATTTGTATGTATTCATTAATACATTTTAAGCAGCCGTCCGGCCTCATTACTGTTGCATGTACTGGTAAGACGATACGTTAGCTTAGATATCAGGTCATTTTCAAGACTTGATATCTAGTCAATATGACACGATAGTTGTAGTAGATCAACGATTGGGCTGCACAGCCACGTGAAGGCTTGCAGAGAAAGGCAGCCTTCCTAGATCTTCGGACATGAAGAACAAAGAAGAACGAAGAACAAGCCATCATCAATCATCAACGGGGTGGGGTCGTGTGGCGTAACGACAGAGTGCTCGACTCGGAACCAAGAGGTCCCGTGTTCGAGTCCTGACATGCCAACAATCTTCTGCCCTTGGAAAAGGCACTTCACACGACTTTCCTCACTTGGCTCAGGTGAAAATGAGTATTGTATTGTCTTAATATTAGCTGAAAAAAAATTGAGTGTGTCCCACCACGTCATGTGATTACATGTTGGAATAAAAAATCATCTAAAGAAAACAAGAGTTCTCACATCGCTCTCTGTAGTTTGACCTCGTCTGCCTTCTCCTCCAGCTGTCTCTGCAGGTTCCTGTTGGTCGCCTGGAGAGACCGCATCTCTCTCCCGAGATCCTCCACGCGCGCTCGCAGCTGGGCCGTGTCGTTCTTCTCCTTATCCAGAGCCTCTGTAACAAACAAACAGTGTCGCCGTTTTCATCAGTTATGTTTTACTTTTCTCTCGGATTAAAAAGATTAATATTTTCTCTTATAATCACTAGGACGGAGGATACAGAGCACGTCGGTAGAACGTATACTGCGCCTGTGCAAAACCCTGATTTTTCGAGGTTCTCGTTTGATACCGTTGCATTAGAATTTTGCCTGTTGCAGAGGATATCTTTTCCGGCATAACATTTGGAAACTACAGACGGGATGTTAACCTTATATACAGGAATACGACTTTTTATGAGACGTTCTGTCGAAGTGCTTTGCAAAACTAATTTACGGATTTCGAGCAGGTGCAGTACGTTCTGTTGACGTGTTAGGATATGTACAGCATTTAGCAACAAAGGTCCATAATATAAAGATGTCTAGAAAAAACAGTCATCTTTTTTATAGCGCTAAAACATTACGCAGAACAAACTGTATTGACTTGCTGTCACCGTTGACCCCCCACCCACCTTTCCACATATCATATACATGACAAAAAGTGGTAAACTTACTATAGAGCCTGTTGAATAGATCCATGTATCTCTGCATGGCTTTCGGGTTCATATTTTTCCCGTTCCACAGTTCTCCGAACGGCTTCCTACTTTCAACAGATTCTGGAAGAAGCGGAGCTCCGAAATTGAAGGAATCCATTTTGGCTTTTTTCTTTTCGTCCAAACCGTTGCCCAAAACAAGACTTGCTAAAAATGTATGACTCGACCGAACTGCCGACCAAGCTCATTATATATCCCTGTTTTCCTCACAATGCACCCGTATGCAAATTGAATCCTAACAAGGCACTTTATATTATAAGAAAAACATAGTTAGCCAGGTGTTCAATGCCCTTCAGTATCTCCGTCTTAAAAGCCTGTACAGTGTTTCCAATTCCCCCATTATTCCCATTCTTCTGTTTTCTTATTTCTGGATCAAAATAAAGGATAAGTGGAAGTTGAAGGACGTAGAAGGCTCTGAAACTGTAGCAACATCTGCGGTAGAAATGGCCTTGGGTCGTCACGTGATACGCACTTGGGATGGTTGTCAATCACTTCTTGTCATAAGTGCTGCACTTGAGGAGTGATTCAGCACCTACTAGGCGGGGGTAACATTTTCTAGCCATGACGCTTTTAGCTCAAACAGTTTAGTTCTGGAATAGCAACTTTGATGTGACCGCATATCATTTGAAATAGTTCGTGTTTACTGCCTTTGCTGATCTTTAAATCTCCCTATTGACTATCTTACCACTTAGGCAACTATGTCCTCAGGCACACCCGCTCAGAAACATGATATCTTGCCATCAAGTCGAGGGAAATGTTTTTATAGTCAAGCACCTTCGCTTGTTGAGAGCTCCACGAGGGAAAGGTAGAAATACATGTACACGAGGCATAGGCCTACATTTCTCCCAGGTCCCACATGCAAACTGCTGATTTAGCACATTTAGCCACTAGGGGAGGGCAGTGAAGCCAATCACCAGTCATCACTGCCACCTTGCGACTACGTACGGAAATGCACAAAAACACTACGTTAGAAAATATTGTAAACGTTTTAAGTACTTACCTGCAGTGTCTTTAGAACATTGAATTGCGTCCTGGAGAAAAAAAAGGGAAGGAAAGATTAGCTGGTACACCCTAAAGAACATAAATAAGGAAATAATTTTTTTGTTGAATGTAGAACTTTATTTCACAACGATTGTACAGTGTGCAAAGCATGTAGACACTTTCATAAGTCTAACCTAACTAATACAAGAGTTAAAGCATATATTGGGTATAATTCTCAAACAGCTAGCTGCGCAATAGACATGTGAATAAGTGCAAATACACCACGGTAAACGGCGTTACATATAGCGGTGAGAAGCAGAACTCCAGTCAGAAGCTCTGAGGAAGGTGTCTGATAGACATCGAAACTCTTGTATCCTATGTAGGCGTTACATACCGTCGTGAGTCTGCACATGGCGTCCTTACACCTCGTCAGGTGGGACACAATCTGCGCCATCTGCTTCGCCTCCGCGTTGGCATCTTCACCCTGGGTCTTTCCGAAGTACTCCTTACAAATGCCCTGCCATGCTGCGTTCTGTAAGGCGAAGTAGACTACATGTTTACGAAAAAAAAAAGACATGGACCTAGACTTTATCAGCTTGAAGGAACTAGTATATATTTTCTATACGATAAGATATGATTCAACAACACATAACTACTTTTGTGTCCCGATTTACAGCTAAAATATTAGGACCATAGCCAGCATGTCTAACTTAGCCTCTATCAGGCTTCGGAGGTGGCTGCAGCTGGAACGAGTAGAAATTGGCCAAATAGACAGATAACATGCCATGGGAGTTGGTCCGCTAAAGGGGTACATTTGGGATGTGGCAAATAATTCTTTAGCGGGCCAACTCCCCTGGCATGTTATCTGTCTATTTGGCCAATTTCTACTCTTTCCAGCCGCTTCCGATGCCTGGTAGAGGCTAATGTCACACACTGTATTGTTAGAACTAATTTATAATATAATCAGTTTCAGATAAAAATTGGAAAGATTTTTTGTTTGGCTTACCACGCCCTTTGTCTTGTCCTGAGGTAGGTGACTGGTTCCGTTTTTGTTATTGTCAGTTGACAGGGTGTCCAAAATGTCCAACAGGGCGCTCAGTCCCTTGTTCATCTCCTCTACCGTCGCCATTTTCTCCTGAAAAACAGAAGGAAGCACGATGAGTCGCCTCCAGTCACGTAGCCCTGGGCAGGGAAGCGTGCTAAATCGTTATATAAGAAATTTTACACCTAGTTATGCTCTTTGTTGTTGTGCAACAGCATTCACCTACAATCAGTCAGAACTTAGCACGTACTGCGCCTACGCAAAACCCGTAATGTTGTTGTGCGTGCATAGACCAGAACGTCTTATTACCTTCGCCAAGAAGGTTATGTTTTCAGTAGCGTTTGTCTCTCTCTCTCTCTCTCTCTCTCTCTCTCTCTCTCTCTCTCTGTGTGTGTGTGTGTGTGTGTGTGTGTGTGTGTGTGGTTTAGCAAGATAACTCGAGAAGCAGTGGATGGATTGGAATGAAACTTGGTAGGTGGATTCATGAGACCTAGAAATGATTAGATTTTGGGTCCCCTGGCGGCTTTCCTTGGTACTGCAGCAAAACTTCCGGTTTTGATATCTCGTGATCTGGACATGCTAGGGTCACGAATTTTGTATGGCAGATAGCTCTTGGGATAGGGAAGAAGTGACATCCCATCTATGGTTTTCAAATGTTGTATCGGAAAAGAAATCGTCTGCAACGTACAGAATTCTGGAGCAACGTTGACCAAACATTCAGCGAAAACTGGAAAATCAGCGCGCTCCATGTACTTGAACCACGACTTGTACTTGAACTAACAAGTCGCCTTTCTTAATAACTACCAACTTCAACGACAAATACGCTCTTCATAGTACTTTTAAGAGGGTACCGGTCATTCATTTCATAGCAGACGAACGGAACGTAACACAGATAATAAGCATTATATATTAGTACGCTTGAAGTTGTATCTTACATAGTACAAACCTGGCAATTATAAATAGACAAAATAAACAGTAACGTTTTTGGCCGTTTTTCGTCTTCTTCCAAATTGTTGGTTTTCTATTCTCTGATCTAGTCAGACTACTGGCTTCGTTGCGAATGTTATGACGAGGAAGCACAATGATTCCCATAAAATCACCATGAATCAAAACTACGTGCGTATTCTGCTATATTTCACGCACAATGACGTCACTGCCATGACAGAACGCACATATTTCTGTCATTACAACCATTTCACTGCGTTCCCCTAAAACATTTTCTTCTGCTACATTTGAGACGATTCACCCGTGGTAAAGATACGAAAAAATACAGCTAGATACTGACAAGTGTAGCGGTCGTATACATTGAAACAGAGACAGTTCCATAACTATATATATAACGTTATATATAGTCATTCATAAATTCCTCTCAGTATTTACGCAGTGCACCTCTGGGAAAATACAGTAGCTCAGGTGACAATGACAATTAGAAAATACCAACATTTCTGTGAAATACCAAAATTATTATATGTAAATGACAGGAAAAATGTCAGACAAAAAGTCAACACCATGTCACGTGTGTTTTTGCTCCTGGAAATACAACGAATGTTAATGTGACACTTTCGTCTCACTTTTTTCATTACAGAGACGATTGTAAACACATCCGATCCGTAATAAGTTTCTCCCTTGGACCTACGTCACAAGAAGACTGTCAACGTTGCTATCAAAACTTCTAAAAAGGGCTACTATACCAATGTCAATCTTTTCCTCAAACACAAGCAAACCCGGCCCCCCACTAGGCCAACGTCGTGACCGAAAACAAGGGTGAAAACAAATGGCTGGATCTGACCGGGGGCATGGTTCCCTCACGCAGACGACATTCGGGGCCTTGTTTTCCCGCCAGAAGAATGGCTGACCTCCTTACCTTTCCCTTTGAAAGAGTGACACGCGCCTCACCCCACTGTTGCTATGTTTTGGTGCCACTCAAGACACGGTGTCGATTTCAGCCCCTACCACGCAGCTGAAATTTGTCCCAGAATTTTGTCAAAAATTCTGCCAGAGAACTAGTGCCGTCGAAATCAAGTGTTTCTTGTCTGGGCTATGAACAACAGAAACTAATAGATGTAAGAACAACACACGAAGACAGAGAGCACAAATAAAGAAGAACAGGAAAGAAGGAAAAGGAATATTCCAATAGTTTACGTACGTGCTCTCAAAAGGGCTTAAAAGATGTTGTACCATAAACAGCATACAAATGAGAGCATAAGAAGTATCCAGAAAACGTGGGCGTCCATTACTTAACAGTGACGATTGTTCAGCTTCTCTAAACATACGTGAAACACACAAAGAATTTTCCCTTTAGGAATGGGGTGTTAGTTTATTTTCCCTAGGTAATGTTTCCCATTCGTAGCTAGTAAACAGAGGCATTGGAACATATAGGGGTTAGAAACAGTTACAATGTCGAAAATAAGGAACATAAGGCTTCGTGTATAACTAAGAATGTGTTTGAACCTTGCTTATCCCTAATGATGGTTTTGTGTTGTAAACACGGAATCGTGTATTGGACAGAATGCATACATGTATGTCCCGGAATGTTGCGTGCATGGAAACGGTAACCGATCATATCACGTAGTTTGCCCATACCGACTTGTAAGAAAGTGCCACTTGAGGTAAATATTATGTCATAAACAGAACAAGTGAATGAAATTCATTCTTTCCAAGATATTTACGGATTCATCAAAGGCATTGGTGAAATACAGTAGCGCACGGATGTTTTGGTAAATGCTTCAAACGGGTACATATACAAGTATATGACGCCTACATTCTCGACTGAATTTAGCTGTAATTCTACTGCTAAAAACGAATACAACCGGAGAAACGGGCAGAGGAATATGTCCACAACATACCTGGATGATGTAAACCACATGCATAGTGTACCGAAAACAGCACTAGTAAAGATATATGTATCAGATTAATTACAAAGCTGACACATCCATGATTGATGGTACGATGTCTATCATGTCATATTGTTCCATTTGTTGTCACGATTCGAGTGGGCCTACCTTCGCCCAACAGTCATCAACAAATCACTTTCCAATACAGTCCGGAAAGATCTGTATCAGTATAGCCGGTATAACCGTCCTTCGGGGTAACACACCAGCTTCGCAGGCACGCGGCTCGGCGGCAGCTAGCTATATCACACCAAACGACTTGTTACTCAATCTTTGCACATTTAATTGCAGGAGTTGTTTAAAGCTGTCTAGTGATGATGCCCCGACTGTGTTCCACTCTACGATAGTTCTGGGGAAATACGAGTTTTTGAGTTTTTGGTTCTGTACCCTTTCCAGTTTATCTTTCCACACTTTACAACTGATCTGTCGGGTTTCAGTTCCCGATGGTCAGTCATTACTGTTGCCCATGACAACAGCTAAAGTACTCACTAAAGTGCATGTATCCAAGCTGGTGTGTTACGCCGAAGGCTATACCGATACAGATACAGATCCTATCCCACAGTATCAACAATGTATATTTTGTTGACAGTAAACCTTACATTTCTCGACATATCATAAAGTTACCTCTATGGGAACTGTATATCGTAATTATTCTAAACAAAACGAAACGCCAGAAAAATTAGCCCGCCAAACGCACAAAGATTGAGAAAAGAAACAAGTACTAAACAGTAAACAAGGGATCATCTTAGTACGGTAAATTGAACCTCGACATAACGGACCATCCTAACCACAAAATACATAGTTCTATTTAAACACTAACCAAACAATGCACACTGTACATACCTTAGAAACCACATCACTATTTGCAGAACTAGACGACAGAAGCTGTTGCGGTTCGAGTGAACTACTTCCACACTGTGTTTGCGTTTGTAGGTTATGCTATGATGAACGTTAGGGCAAAACGTCACACACTATTGAACCGTAGAGACTCCATGGTGGCCCGGTATTTGTCTTTCATTGTCTACTTGTCATAGCAGGTGTTGTCTTACCTGCTGACCCCTGGAGCTTCTTTAATTTACTCAGTCAGAAGGAAAGGAAACCCGACTAGCATTAGGATTATGTATGCCTACTTTCCACTGAGGCAGCGACTGTTCAGCGGCCATTGAACCACCTAAAATCTTATTGATAAAGAAGTGTAGTGTTTATACTGTCATGAAAGTTCATCTGTGTTGGTAGTTACATGTTTAAAGTTAAAACTTTTGATCCAACACAAAGAAGTTCTCTCACCAAGAGCTTTCGACCAGTCACTCTGGTCTACTATACTGAGGAAGACTGGTCGAAAGCTCAAGGTGAGAGAACGTCTTTGTGTTGGATGTAGAGTTTTAACTTTTTAAACAAGTGTGTAGTTAAATTTGTACTTTTTTGTGTGAATATAAATCGTACTTTTACACCATGAATCATAAAGCCATAGGTTATCATACAATCCGGACTGTGGTTGCTCAACGGTTTTCATTCAATGGAAATTATACCTGGATTTTGCTTGGTTTCTCCTTTGTTTTATTCCAGGTGGTTTTGGTGGGAACGCTTAGACTAACCAGGTGGTTGGAGATGTAAAGAAGGTAACCTATGGGTGACTGGGCCTGACTGAAGAAAGAGCTACATTCGTGTGTCCGTGAAACGCGATACGGATACTTTGCACGCTCAGAGATCTAATCTATCCCTGAAAATCATGAAAGGAAACAACACGATATTGTAAGGTAGCTCGATAAGTCTTATTGAAGCGTGTAGCATGTACTGGTATGTTGCATGAAAACTAACGTATGTTGTATGAAAACCAACAACCTAGCGAATGAACTAGTTCAAAATATTATTTGGTTAAGGGGTTGAATATTTTATCTTTTAGGAATGATCTTTAAGTGAGTTATAAAGATAAAATCTTCACTGTTTTGCTTGATACATGTTTTATGGATCTTGATATAGTTTCATATTTTTGCGCCCCCCCCCCAAAAAACCCCTAACGCCGCCGCTCCAAGAACTCAGGGGCCACATTTTGACCTTGATAACGCGTGAAGGTCAGCGAGCCACACTAAATCGATATACGCCAGTTTTATAGTGTAAACCGTAAAAATTCAATTAGATGTTTGTTTTGGTCACTTTCAAGAAAGCCGAGTCTTTTTTTGGGTCGCACTAAATGAAGCGTATTTTTGACCTTCTCAAATGTGTACAAAATATCTCTCTTCTTCTCTCAGGTGTACAAGCTGACGTCACGTGATTGAGATAGAACTCGTCCCTTAAGAAGGGCACGCGTGTTCTTTGGACGTGCTGAACTAGAAAAAGTTTTGTGCTAAATTTGAATTTTACATAGATGCTACCATTTTACAGAAAGCCAGCCAAGCTACATTGCGCGTAGTTCTTTTTCCAACACAACGATAAAACGAATCAAATGACAATGGTCACGTATTGTAAGAAATCATTTCAAATCGCATGGAGTCTACAACTATCGTAGAAAATAGATACACACGATAGTTTGGCACTTGGACCCTCCCCTTACTTATCATAGGACGACAGACTCACCACCCTCTAATTTTGTACATCTTTAGTCAGGATAGTTGCAAGTCAGTTTAGTGAAATGTATCAACCACTGTACATATAGGTAAATAGGGGATCTAACTAACTACACAGCTATGTTGCTAAGGACGCTGACGGTACATGTCCTTGGTCACATTACGGAAAATCCACGCTCCTATCAAGAACAAATGACACAGAAAACTTACCGATAGTGTGTTATGTCGAAACTGTCTGTGTGTGCACTCCAAAATACGGTAATGACACTTGACTGCAACGTAACAGGTGAATGGTTTTGTACCTTCGACCAGCTGTAGCCTAACTGTCAATTAAGTTAACGATGTCCATCTATTTTTTCATGAGTCACTCTTTATGTATCCTGGTCAACACCAGAGTGTCAGATCCTTGGAGATGGCCCACAGATTGTCCTACTGGCCATTCGCATGGTCTATTTGATAACAATTAGCAGTGTTTGACACCACCTGCTATCATTGACTCACGCGGCCTGAGAACGATCACCCAGACACGTATATTTGCCCAAGTCAATTCAAGGCATGTCAATACCACTCCCTCTTTTCTACTGGATCGGTTATAGTTACGGTTTGTTTGGGAAAACAAACGGCTACAGTAGCTTGGAATTTCGTGGCAGAGTTAGCTAAACGATGTCCCAATGATAAAATAATGTTTGACTTTGACACGTTGTGGATATAGGCATATGTCCAACCTCGGGAAATATACCCTAATAGAACAGAAGATGTTATTCGTGAAAACGATAAAAACTATTTCCTAGCCTTTTTCGGCACATACGAAGCACCACTTTCTTTTACCATCGTTTTATGATTAATACATACGTTGTTTAGGAAATTGTGGAAGAAAGTACTTAGTTTCAATTGTGCATTATTACAAGATGACGAGTTCGAAATTCGTTAAGGTGCGAAAAATGGGGACCTAAAATTAAACCACTCGCTCCGTATGTCTACAACTCTCTTGTGATCACTTCGGGCTTTATTTTGACCTAATCACTTCGTCTCTGTGACATTTATATGAACTTTTTTAACCTTCTCTGAACACACTGGGTCATAATAAGCACACTTTCAAGTTAAATCTATTATGCATGATGCTAGATACACCTGTATATTATTAATGTCAATTTTGTACCCTACTTTACGGGTTGTAGTTGAGACGTCTGGACGTCAAGTTATCGGGTCTCTGTTTGAAGAGCGCCATACATTCAAGGAAACGAACTCAATTATTGAGAAAAGTAATCTTGTGGCCAGTTTTGAATAGCTTTTACCAAAAAGATAGCTTATACCTACCTCAGTAAGGCACAGTATTGAGCTACGAAGCTGTTTGGTGGTTATACAGATGTACGTCGTCCTTAGATTCTACATGTGTACTAACATGTTTCCGAACATCAACAGATAATGTCTCCATTCCACAACATTTTGCACACTCAGTGTTAAGAGGACACCATTAAGGACGAATGCGTCAGAACCACACAGATTTGTAATGAAACCGCCTCTCTCTTTGTTACTGACAGCACTGAGAAATAGGACGTGCGTCAAAACTAGCCTTCAATCACTAACAGGAGAAAGGGTAATGAGAAAAAAGACACGTGAAAAGGATAGAAAGAGAAGAAGTGTAAAGAACTCATGATGTATTTGTATGTCGGTAGAAAATACACACAGTTCCGAGAGCAAGAACCCTTAGTAAGGCTTTCGTAATTTACAAATGCGCATTAGACTAACATCAAAAGAAGAAAATTCATGTGTACTATTAGATGATCATGATTAACGTGCGTTTTGCACTCAGTCTAACACTAGTGTAGGACAACCCACACAAAAGCCTCTATGTGCCTGACAAAAAGACACTGCAGAGGAAAGGAAAGGAACTGCAAAGAACTCTTTGTGACAAACATTAGATAGCTAAAAAGGACAACTAAATCAGGATTCAATTTAAGATCTGTCACCAAATGCTACCACCTCCTTCTACGGTACGACTATCCATCTTCGTCACAGACTCCAAGACTCTCTCTCTCTCTCTTTACGCATACACAAAAACACCGCAGAAATGGAAACATAACCTTCTCAGCAGTAGAAGTAATAAATCAGTTCTTACCACAGCAGCCAGCCCGTCCTGTTTCTCCCTCCTCGCTGTTTAGCAAACGTCAGCCGTCCTCTCCTGAAATGTCGCCTGCTCGCAGCGGTCTCCAGAGAAACCGACCCCTGTCCTCACACAAGTCACGGCCGCCGGTCGTTGTTTCCCCCAACGTTTACACAACAGTCAAACGAGAGTCTCTGTTTCACTGGCTGAGGTCCAAGTGATTTGTAAGACGCGTACGTTTACATAAATGGAAATTACTGTGTACTAGTACTTCGAATTCTGTGGCGTGCCGCACTGCGTATTTAGGTAGTTGTGTTTGCATGTGTATTGTCACAAATGTCACTGACCCGTGAAACGAAAACTAATTACCCAAACCTACAGATGAGAGTCCCTACTAATTCATTTACTCAAACGAACTGTCTGGTATTGCGATGCCCGTCTCCATGGAGATCGGGATTTGATTGACGGTATCTTGCAATATTTCTTTCAAGAAACTCGGTCAAGTGAAAATTAATGCGTTTCGCGTGACGCAAACGTAACATGATTTATTTTGTGATTACGTGATGCAACGACAATACATATTGGCCAGAACACTAGCCTTAGGTTCAGCAGTAGATGCGCTTGCATTGTATGCGCCCCCTATGGGCTGTATAGATAACTGCAATGCAATTGTGTGCTTGTAAGTTATCCTTCCAATGACTGACACCTGTGGTCTGGTGTCTTGCACGTAATAGAGAATACGAACAACAAACGAAAGAGAAAATTGAAAGTCAATTTATTAAATACATACACCAGATAGATAAGATAAATTGCCAATATGGAATAATACAAATACATTAAATTAACGAAAGGGTCAATCAATATGTATATCAAGTGCATTTACTAAACTGCATGTAGCCCAAATGTACTAGTGTATAGTATAGGTGGCTGAGTTGACATATACAGTCTATCGAAAAAAACTACAAGCTTTTGCATGTAGGCAATGGCAAAACGAATACTTACTGTCTAGTAAACTTAGAGTTACTGTTGATAAGCTACAATGTATATACGTATCATGTGGCTGATATAATAATAATGATCATTATTATGTACACCAGGTATGACAGAAAATATTGTGGACAAACTATACAAATAAGGTTGAGGAAACAATACCAGATTACTATCTTAGATTTAGGAATAAATGTCTTCATGTTCTTCCACAACTATAAATAAATGGCATGCAATGCTTAATGATACATTTGTACCACTAAATCACGAGAGATTTCCACTTGTGGTACCGTTAATTCACACACAGCATGTATAAATTATTTTCAACAGTCTGCAGAACACTCTAAGCCCAAACAGAATATTACATGTATATCAATAGATTTAGTAGATCATATCATTATTTTGTCTCGCCTCTGAAGTACGTATGGTCTTGCCATGGTTGCCAGAAATGTGACGGACGTTGGCGGGATGTTTCAACACCCTGCTGTGGTCGTGGGGCCGACGGTTTTTGCTGGGCCGCACACGCTACCGAAGCTGGTTTTTGCTGGGCCGCACACGCTACCGAAGCTGGCGTGCTAACGTTGCTGATAGACGTCGGTACGGAGGACGGGGCTGTGTGTGATCCCGATGTTTTGCCAACAGCCTTTTGTCCTGGGTAAATCTTTCGCTGTTTGCGTAAATCTGTTTCGGCTGAGGTAGAAGTTCCGTGTGTCCGTTTTCTGGGTTTGTCGTCGGCGTTTTGAACACAGCTTTTGCTTGATCGGCTGCCGCCAGCATCCGCGTTTTTCGCCGAAATGTCCGGTCTCGACTTGCTTGGTGATGACTCTGCATTTTCCACGCACGTATCGCTAGTAAGTCTGGCATCCCTCAATAGTAGTGACATTGCATTTTTGGTGCACCTCTTGGATTTTTCTGCACGCTTTTGTGATGACGTTACATTTTTGGTGCACCTCTTTGGTCGTTCTGCACTTTTTGGTGGTGACGTTGCATTTTCGGTGGACTTCTTGGTCACCTTTGGTGGTCGCGATGTGGTGGTTTCTCTGCTTCTCTCAGTGGCTGAGCGCTTCCTAGCTTTCTTCCCCATGCGATCAAACTCTTCAATTGTTATGGATCTCACGTCAACAATTTTAGGTGTTGTACTGTCAACATCCGGGTAGCCACGAGCCTCCCTTCGCGCCTGTAGAAGCCGGTACAGACACCAGACTTTCCACGTCTCCATGTTCCAACTATACATTTCCAGTGAGGTGGAATTTTGACTCAGCTGACCTCTGGAACCGACCGTATCTTTAGCTTCAGAATATGGCATCGCCATGCTGCTTCGCTTCCCTTCCCACGTTGATTACAGAGCCCAATCTGCAAAGAAAGGGAAGAGACACGCATTGCTAAGCACAAAAAGGCTTCAGAAAACCGAGTCATATTTTATTCATACCGACTGCAACATTTCTTAATTATACCATGGAGTTCTATGATTATACATACTGATAATGAATATCATAAATTCTTAATGATATGAACAACAGTCATGTGGTTACACACTTGGTGAAACTGTACTGTGTGATAGTAATATTACGTGTGGCGTATAATTCTTATGTCATTATAACATGGTCATAAAAAAGATGTCACCAAGTGTCGAAATGAAATGAAGAAATGATGTCAGGATTTCACGTTATTATTAGGCGTTCCAGGAAGTAAAGTACACACGTATCAGTTTATAATCTACATCATCGTCGCATAAAACAACAAAAAAATATATTGTACATACAGTGGTGCAGCATGTCCATACTCGTTCTCAGAGTTCTTGGAGCGGTGGCGTTTATTTTTTTGGGGGAAGCAGAGCTGATACAATATTTTTACACGGGGAGAGGGAGTTACGCTACTACTACACTCGAGAACGATACAGCTTTCTCCGCGGATACAGCTATCCCCAGAACAAGGCCCTCCCCCCGTAAAGAAACCGCCGCTCTAGCCGCTCGTAGAATTATAAACAAAACACTGCCTCACTCGAAGTCTGCGCAGGGGATTACCGTACGCCTATCCAATTTACGTGTAGCAGACAATTATAACGTACAACGGGCCTTACCGAATCATGTTGTCGTAACCTTTTAAGCTAGAATATTGTACACATGTACTCACAGTTTTGATAGCGTTGTATAAGACACAACCTCTGGTTCACCGCCAAGTGTAGCCATGGTTCTGACGATGTGAGACACGTAGTCGTAAACGAACGAGGTAGCCAATCATGGGGGCGGGATATTTTGGTCACCTGACTTCGCCCGCCCGCCGGCAGTCATAACAGGATTTCTGCTTGTATTGTTTGTGGGCGTTTTTACGTAATATTTAAAACGTGTGCCACGGGAAATGTAGACTATTTCCTCCCACAACGTCGCAAATATTCCTTATGGCTTTGACAGTTAAGTACCACCTCAACAAGACTTCGGAGATCTCATACCTCCATATTTCCAATTCCAGAACAAGCTTCTAGCGTGACCAAACACCACTTATAGTCCTGACATAAAAAAAATATTATCTGCCACCAAAACACCAAGACCATAGCATGTTTAAAAAAATAAAATAAAAAACGGAAGTTCTGTTTTAGTACCAAGGTCATCCACTATTTGATCTCCACCTTCGTCTTCCCAAGACCTACCCACATGCCAAATATCATCACAACACTCAAAGTCTTTATTAAGTTATGGTGATATGCACATACACACGCACGCACAGACAAACAAAAAACAATACAGAACAGGTGTGTCCGTATCGTGCAATATTGTAAGTAACCGTTAGGAGGCGCCCACGGGGCGGAAAGCAACCTTCTCTCGGCGGCTATGTAGGGTGGCCGGCTATATTAAAATAACGCGTTAAAAACTCTTCCCCACCGCCGCGGGGCCTGCGCAGGAGGCTAGCATACAGTATGGCACAATTTACAATCATTATGTTGACAAGAGATTACGCCGGGTATGCGTATCAGAATACGGATAGATAGTAGTTGGACCGGTTGGACCTCCTGTTTTAATCAGTCCTTCACGAGATACAAAAATCACTGGACCGACAACTAACATTCCTGCCGAAACAAAAGACCCTTTTTGTAAAGTCAGGGCTGTCTTCAAGGATTTTGCAAAAATTAAGTGGCAGCTTTCACAGGTCATCCTGACCTAGCTTACTCAGCAAGTTGCCTTCATTCTAACACCAGTCATGCTTCTTTCAAGCTATGCAGATGAAAATAAAGATATCTCAATGACTTAATGAGCATCTATAACAAAACAACAGTCACAAAATCCGCGCTTGATATCAAAAGAAATGGCTGTACATTTGCAACTGTTTTTATGATTATTGTATGCATTTATTTGAATTTTACTGTCATATTCCTTAATTGTGCACATATAATACCCACATTCAGAGACACCTGCCCGCCATCTAACTAATAAATTGTCAAACCCCTCCCGACCCTCAGGCCAAGCTTGACGTTTGAGTCATGTGTTGTAGGTATTCTGCCATTTACAACAGAAACAAGTATTTCTTATTTAATGCCCATCATCATTGTATTTCAGTTTTGTCCTCTATTTTTTTGTTTAGACGAAAAAATTATGAGTTCCATCCTATGAAAGGAATGGCCCTTCACACTACATATGTTTCCGATTTGAGATATTTTATGTAGCAATAGCAGGTGGCAAGACAGGTTAATTTGCATAAGGCTCCAGAAGGGGATTCGTGTATATGTGTTCTAATTAAGAAATAAGGATAAAGTTTTTACTTCAAACTAGATATGAAGGTACAAAATAAAGTTACACTGAGACTTATTTAGAATATATCAAATTGTCTCGTTATGACTGAAATTGGTGATTTTCGCATACTGCAAAACCCCTCATGAGACCTAAAGCTCTCCTAGGACAATTACGCCTTCTTTGAGATACGGATAATTATCATACTTTGAAAGGGACAGATGATCCAGTAGGGCATCATGCACTGATACCCGGGTCCCGGTGGACAAACTTTCTTCTCTTGACTTTCCACAGCATTGGGGCAACAAACAAGGTAAGAGGCACATTTCTAGACGAAAAGCAACGAATTTTAGTTCATTAGGAAAGACCAGCAAGACAAAAACCCAGCACCCAAAGTGTTGCTTTATCAGACAACAAGAGTCTGACCTAGTTGTGATGCCATAGCCAGTATTGTTACTTGTACACAATGTTTTTTGAACACCGTTTTTTAAAACAACGACAAATGGATATCCATTTAGATTTTGCCATTGCATCGTGGGGCATTTATTTTTAAAAGAGTTACGGTGTATACATTATTCGACAGCACCACTAAACAGGTGTTTTCATGCCGGACAACTCTGTTTGGTACATAACATTATATTTTTCCACTGAGGATGGGGGAGGGGGGCAAGACATCGTCAATAACTTGCCAAACGTTCTAGAAAATGAGAAACACACTTCCATTGCATTGGGTATAAAGACATGCCTGTATGAATGAATACCCACGCTGCATGGGCTTAACACTGAGTGATTTGTATTGTCTGCCAGAGAGCATGGGAAATAAGACCTACTCTGATGTTTATTTTTTGTCAAAACAACCCTGTTCCTGTTTATGTTTTCAGCTTACATAAATTTCGCCCTGTATGTCGACAGTTGTGTATATCAATGGTTTAGAAAAATAATTCTGACACTTCTTGTCCTATCTCTAATAACATACACCAGTCTCTTTTGATTTGATTAATGGACTCTTATTTGACCGAATTTCCGTCAACGCACGTCATGTACAGGAAATGGTGTTACACCTGATGACGTACATGTAGATAAGCTGACGCAAATAAAAACAAAAGACACAACTGCTGATAGCTTGAGTCAGTTTACGAAATATACATCTGAGCACAACAAGCACTGATCATTACAACTGTGTAAAAATAATCGTCAGCGGAGAAATTGTACGTGAAAAAGCAATAGTTTAGAACATTAAAAAAAGCCCATGCAAGACAGATCTACTATCACCTATAGATTTAACGATAGAAGATCATTTAAAAGCTTAAGGTTGGGACGTAGCCATGCAGGAAAATTGAAAAGCTAAGATAGAGATTTAGCCTTGCAAGGGTCAGTTTCATTGTGTGTATAAGCAACCCTTGTTAGATCTTCAAATTATATGAAGCTAAGCTCACGCATTTTTTCAAGAGAAACCCACAAAAAAAAAACACAATCAATGAGAGATGATTTGTCTACTGTTCATAAACACACGAACGTTGGTATTATAACATGTCCTTGGTTAGACAAGGTCGTGTGGTATTGTTTCTGGACTGGTATTTTTTGTAGTGGTGCGACCGCAAGTAACCTGACAGTGAAGGCCAGATTGTCTCCAAGCAGAGGTTTAGGCTTCGGCTTATTTTTGGCGTACGTGTTTTAGGTGTTTTTATCGGGCTCTCTTCTTTGTACTGGTATCTTTCTTCGTCAGCTGGCAACTCCCTGACAAATGGATATTGCCTATCCAATTTGATATTGTCTTTGAAGCCACCAAAAGATCTGCTTGGAGATTAGGCCACACAAGTAAACCTTGTGACACGAGAAAAGATTCGCCCTCCATTTTTTTTCATACTTCGATGACCAGTAGGTCTTCACATTATTCAATTTTGAGTATGTACATATAGTATACAGCTGAAAAATTATTCTTGCTTGAGCCGAGTTAAATATCTACACGCAGATGAAAAATGTAAAAGTCATTGAGTAAGGGAAGCATAGCACAAGACCCAGCATACATGTTATGTATAACAAAACTACTGTGAATTGTTTTCGTGCAGAGCTGTTTCTTTTATAGTTTACAGCCACAAAACCACGACAAATATACTGGAGGAGCCTGGAAAATTCCAGATACCCTGCAGTCACTATGCAGAAAAAGTCATCAGTTTATATCAATAAAATAGTCGCATTAGAAAATCGTATTTTTTGTATTACAGTTGCCATGACTACACAGTGGGCATGCGAGAGGAGGGGGCAGCAATGTGAGTTTGTTACCATCGTCCTAACCAATTTGTAAACATAATAAGTTTGTAAATAAACAACATTAACGTTATATAACATTACATGAACGTAACAGTTTCACGCATTGGTTCAGACATTGCTATTGCCAAAGCTAGAATAATTTTCCCAATTCAGGGACCAACGCAAGTTGGAAAATCTTAACCGACCAGTTGGGACAGGCTGCCTTCAGAGAGAAGAAACAACAACAGTCCAAGGTTAGTTACTAGTACTTTTTCTGGGTGTATCCAATAATAGATACATAAGGTACTAGGTTAGACGCCACATGTGTGATTATATGAAATTATATGACCTTTCCTTTGTATGCCTGCAATGCAGTAATGAAAATATGAATGGATATACACAACGTAAACACATGAAATGCCACCAAACTCTATTACTTTGTGTTGAAGCAACTTCTTAGTATGCTATGGAATAGGACTGATTCAATTTGCTACATTAAAAGACTGACAAGAAATTGACTTTGAAAATTCAGTTTTACCGCCCTGAAATTACATTGGAAGCCTTGAGATATGAAGAAGCTTCTACAATGTAACAGAACTCGTATTTTTCATCTACTTGCAGACAACCGACCTACTGCAGGCCCCCAAAGCCACCTCCACGTCCAAGCTCATTATGAGCGCAAGGATTGAGAAATTCAAGATGGCGGCGAGAGCTGCAGCCTTGAAAGGTCAAAGGTTGTTCGACAACACCGGAGTGGGCGGTGCTGGGTACGCCGTGGTCATCTCCAACCCCACTGTTCCACAGAACGACTTCTTCAAACCTGGCCGGGTCTTCCAAGTCCGCCTCCGCCACACCAATACTGGGACAGATGACGATGCAGGTACGCCCTTCCTTCCTTCCTTCCTTCCTTCCT